AAATCATGAGAGGCTCACGAAGACGTTCTCCAGGAGAGAATTGAATTAAGAGGCTCACGAAGACGTTCCCCAGGAGAGAATTGACGTGCTTCACAAAACAAACTGATCTAGGTATGTATCCCCTCGCGGAACACCTTTCGTAATTAGAATTTCATTTGCACTCTTTCTGAATGTTCAAGAGGGTTTCAACTATCCTGAAATCATGAGAGGCTCACGAAGACGTTCTCCAGGAGAGAATTGAATTTAGAGGGGGGGGGTCTGTATTGAAAAATCAATTCCAAGGGGGGGGGGTTGAATTGAAGGATCAATTATTAGACCCGGACTCGCCGACACTTGCTTCGCAAGTCAAACTCAAGGTATCCCCTAAAGGGCTACCTTTCGTGACTTTTTGAAGAAAATTCTTTCAAACCAACAAATCTCGCAAGACGGACAAGCGCGCTAATTTCTGAAATGCATACTGCTTGACCCTCCCCAGGTCATAGAGGATATTGTCCTGGCCTAACAAAAACTAACTTCAGCCCAGCGTAACAGTTTATCCAGTGGATACCTGGTTACCTGGGTGGAACTTTTCTTCTTTGGGAACCATCCCCACTGGTCGACACTTCTCGAACATCGCCTCGTGAGCGTGGTTGTTTCCAAGGGCCTCTTGCTCTTGGCACATTGCACCTGCCCGCCGCTCGGCTGTAGGGCGCTACAAACACTGCGCGCGGCACAGCGGCATCCATTGGGTGTGTCTGTATACGACCATCGACCACCAAAATTCAAGACTCTCAGATTGGTTCTGCACCCGAAATGGAGTAGTGCTAGTCCAGCCAAGTGACCCAGAACAGATGGTCCTGATCTGTTTTCAGTTTGCTTTACTTCAGGTGGGGCAAACATAGAATTACAATACACTCCCTGAAATAAAATCATGGACGTGGATGGCAAACATCGCCACCATGTATCTATAACTATCTATCTATAACTAACTATCTCTCTTTCTCTCTCTCTCTCTCTATCTATCTATCGATCTATCTATCTATCTATCTATCCATCTATCTATCTATCTATCTATCTATCTATCTATATGCATGACCAGTTTCAAACATGAGGGTGCCATCCCCATCATCCACTTCCCCTATAGAGGAGGTGCGACTGGAGCCCTATGGCCTAGGGTCCACGATGATTTCAAGAGTGTAGTCTGACCTCTGAAAAATGTTCCAGCTCACCAAACGCACCCTGCGTGAAAGAACACCAGAGAAGTCATGAAGAAATACTGCAGATTTGTAGACACTACATCCTCACAGCAGAACACACGGAAAGCCTACGTAGTACATCGTAGTGTTTCATCTGACTACAGTACCGACAATGTCCAAGAAGCTGCCTAGCTGAAGACTCAAAATCCTCAACAAATACTAGCATTACTAACAACTAGATTAAATCCTAATTAATATTACTAATACAAACCCATCTGCACCTCTCTCTTCCAGCCAGTGCCCAGAAACTTTCCAACCAAAACATTTGGGCTCTCCCACCAACCTCTCGCGAGGTCAACCCTGCCTCTTTACACCATCGCTGTGACCGGTCTGAGTGGATCACGCCATCGCCCTTCGCGTCGACTTTGGACACGTTCTTCGCCGAGGTCACCTGGAGCCGATCCGAAGAACGACACCGATCCACGACGAAAGCCACACGACGAAACGACGACGCCGTCGGACATGGTGGGACGATGTGAATGTCTTTAGACTTCAAGTCATGACCTGGTCGAATCCCTTGATATATTTTGTTTGAGGTCACAGAAAGCCTCTAAGAGGTCACTTAGAGGACTGGAAAAAAAAAGGAAACAACAGTCGTGTCATCACTGGAGGATGTTCTTCTCTCACATGGCAATGACGTCGAAGCATCGAAACACTTGTTTCTAGCTTGGCTTAGTGGCTTTCACAATGGCTACCTAACTCATCCTAACTCCTAACGAGGTCTCTGGGATCCGTGACTTCATTTTATAAGGACCTGTGCAAGGGGGATCCTAACTCATCCTGACTTCTAACATCTCCTACATCCGACCCGGTTGCTTCGCCATCGGTCATTGCTCCCAAGTATTGGGACCCTGATCAGTCTTCCGGACTGAGCGGTTCGGTTCTGCGCTTCCGTACGCGTTGGTCCATCCCTTCGGTAAAACCTGCAATGCTAGGGATTCATGTGGTTTGTCTACGGCTCCCAAGTAGGCATACGTGGCCTTTGGTCAGGGTGCAGGGAGTGAAATCTCCACCCAGTGTACCTGAGCGACCACGGGCGCTTTCCGTCCCAGCCCTTTTCTTGCTGCTCTAGGCGCTGACACTTTGATCGCTTTCGCTGGTTGCCTCAGAGAAGAACACTTTCAGGCTCCCGGTGCCATGCGAGGACCGTCCACTGGTCCAAGGAATATATTCTTGGTATTTCTTGGTCACGTACGTGACGTGTTTACGCTTGAGAACCCGAGGAACCCGCGGCAGGAACGTGCGCATCGGAACTCAGTCGGGCGCCCGCACGGTCGCCAGCGGAGCGTGTCGTGTCTGGTGCCCTCCGCCCTTCTCGCTTCTTGGGGCTACTCAGCCACCCGCCAGCGAGACAAGCGCGCCGTGCAGACCGCAGAAGGGTGCAGCACGGGTGCGGGTGCGGTGGCGGCCGTGGCCCACAGCTCTGGCTATTTGAGGTCCAAGCTGCTAAACTCTTGCAGCCAAAGCCTGGTGGAGTGCCCAAGTGGGGCACCCCAACACCTCATGGTAGCTGAAGCTGGTCATACGAAGCTCCATACATAGCACCGAGGGCCATTTAGGATCGATCAGGATCACCTCTCTTCCTGTGTGTGACAAAAACCGCTGGCAAGGAGGCAGCTGACCTGACAACTGGCAATGGATCAGGAGCTTTCTGTGGGCCATCACAGTGCTAACTCTGGTGTTCTGAGCTCTGATGGTGGGCCCTGAATGACATGTCATCCTGGTTCCTGGACAACACTGCCTGCTTCAAGCTGCTTCAAGCTGCTTAGATCTAGATCTGCTTAGTAAAGGCAACTCTGTCCATCTGCCTGGTCGATGCTGCCTCTCCGAACGATCAAATAGCACCTCTCATCGGAACGATCTCACGATCTCCTCGTCGACCGAACGATGATCCTCATCCGAACCCTATAGGCCTCCAGTCGTACCTCCGAAGCGGTTCGGTATGACTGGACCCGAACCTGGCACCCGGGCCCCCGTCGTCCCACCGAACCGAAATGAGTTCCGAACGAAAACAGAGGCCGAACGGGGAATGAGATTCATCCCCGCATCGAAGCACCCATCCTGAACGTTCCTGCTGCGAAAAAAGACCAAGACTTCCTGATGGGAGGGGAAGCTTGCACACCATCCTGTCATATGTTTGGTGCGCTCCAAAATAGGCGGAGATCCACTTCCCATGCTGACAAGGAGTTACAGGATGGGCTTGGATCATTGGATTTGGACCGCTGACGCGAAGCAAGCAGCATAGGAACGAACATACAGATGCATTAGACTTGAAACGTGCACTCTTTACTATACCAGGACCCTCTAACAGGTGGTTTCTGATGGTTTCTTTCGTTTCTCTTAGGAGCAACAGCTGTTGGAGACTGCTAGAAACCCATTCGCCAGCTGTAAGACGGGTTTGCCAATCACTCAAGCGTTCCTGGCCAGGGTCCACGTGAGGGTCCTAAGGTCTAGAGTCTCCCACTTTCCTTGTCTTGCGTCTATCCTGCATACAAATCCGTGACAACAACATCTACTCGATTTAACTCTGCCATGATGTTGTTTTTGCGGTGGTTTTACGATGCTTTCCGAGCCAAAACAATGTATATAATCACACCTTTTTTGCAGGAAAATCATGGAACATCCACGAAATTCAACGTTTCCTCCCAGGGCTGTGGACCTCGGATACTCTTTCTCGCATCCCAACTGTCCCTGGTCACAACTGCAGCCCCAGTGGCTTTCCCGCCAACCTGCGTCGAGGGGCCTGGCCACACAGGTGAAAAAGACCAATGAACCATCAAGTGGTCCGTGATGGTCTGTGGGCATAGCAGGAAGTCGTATGAAGTCGTTTATAGGTTCTAGTATGTTCTAGTCGTGTCCCGTGTTGATACATTCATACTCTAGTCTTTTTGGGTGGCTGCTTCTGTTGGTCGATGAACATCCGACCCTACAGCGGTGACCTCGATGCCTCTGACCGTCATCATCGATCTTGGGAAGACCGACAGGGCCGTGGATGCTGTTCGGCTTGGGGAGGGATGTCTGCACAGCGGGTCGGCCTGTGGGCAGAAACTGATCCCACCAAGTGGCGCCCAATATCAAGTCATTCACCCACCCCTGGGGGTAAGGAACTGATCTAACCACCTGCGGATCCACCCTCCACTTTCAGGAGATTCACTCTGTTCACCATCTGTTCAACCTAAGGGGAACATCCATCACCCGAGACCAACGAACACGCTGCAGACCACGGCGGAACCGATGACCGGTCCGGTGGGGTGCCGAGCGCCTCCACGGGGAGGATGGTGGAGTCGATGGAAATCTCGGGCATCCGCTTCAAGGCCTGCGCGCAGGGTTTCCGGATAGGGGTGGTTGATAGACACCCATTAACCTCTATAGCTTTAAAAAACAAACGCTGTACAACAACGAGGTGTTTCAATGCTTGGAACCCCAGAGGCGCCCACTGGGCCAACGACTCAAACGCTGCTGGGTAAGTCGCCGACCCGTGAGCCGCTTTGGGTCCATTCATAGCCCCTTAGATGTTAAGGGGTGTCCATTAACCACCCCTGGACTGGGTCCTGGTACATCCATTGTCTTTCAACAGTGGACAGCAATCCGTAATTCACACCTTCCTCTTCACACGTCAATGAAGCCAATAGAAACAGAAAAGACACTTCTAAAAGAGGCTCAAGAGGAATCCAATCCCCAAAGCAAAAGAGTCTTTGCGACTCGTCCACCTCAAAACGATCCAAGCACTGGACCTTTCTCCCCGAACCGCCGCGCATCGACTCATCGACGTTCGGTTCGCCTTCACGAGGGATGCGCCACTCGAGTTCTCGAAGACCCATCCTCTCAGCTGGGCATCCTGGAGCGATGCGCCGGGTCCACGGGCGGGGCGGCACGCTTTGGTTCAGCCGGAGGAGGTGTTGATGGGGCCAGGCTCTGGGTCTTGACCGTCCAGGGGAAGCTTTGTTCAAGTGCATCACCAACCGCAGTTTGGAGGGATCTTCTATGCTGGTAGGAAGCTATGTCAGAGGTCATAATGATTTGGGGCAAACAGGGTAGCCAGCGCGCCTGATGAATTTGAAGCCCAAAGATTCGATCGGATTTGATGCAAAAGACAGGACCATATGTGCTGAAAGTTAAAAAAGATTTGTCAAGCTTATCATTAATAGCTCTCCATCTCAGGCTTTGTGTGGATTAGCCTTTAACTGCATGAAAGGTACAGTCGTTTTGGTTCTACATGTCTACCTCTACCGTTCTACCAGTCTACTTGTCCATCAACGTCAACTTCTGCGATGCCATGCTCGACAATCAAGCCAAATACATCCAAAGCCGGTAAAACACTATATACAGCACGAATTACTAGTGTCTCAACAACAACCGTTGGGGGAAACACATAACATCACAATTTAGCAGCTATAGATTATAGATCCTATATGGCCATTAGGATATCAAACAGAACATTTCTTGGATGTTCTTGGCACTTCGAAACAGTTTCATCCCATCCATCCCAGATCACAGACGTGGGACCTCACCCGTCCCCACCCTAAAACGCCCCAAACATCGCAATCGATCCATCCGCCCAGGGTCCCAGGTGCCACCCAGGCGGTGGAGCAAATGCTTCACGTAGAAGGTCTCGCCTGACGAAGTGGTCTTCGGTCCGCGAAGTCGGCCCCGGACCCGACCATCGGAGACCCGAAAAAACGCCGAGGGTCCTCCCAGAGGGTCCTCCCAGAGGGTCCAGTTCCGCAAAACCCGAGAAAGACGTCAGACACCTGCCATGTAATGATGGCATATGCTCCATACGACATTGACCCCGACTTCAGATCGGCCTGATCGGGTCAATCTATTGCCTGTCCCAGACAGGTCGTGTTTGGGAGATGTCGGTCAGTCCGTCTTCAAACCACCTCGGTGCACCGATGTCCACCGGACCCCGATCGAGTCGTGCCACCTCGTGTGATCCAGTCGGTCCAACCAACGGACCTGATAGCGGGACATGTTCAGAGTTCTCAGAGTTCGGTATTTTTTGGGTGAAGCCATCTTGATATATCTTGATTGGATTGGATTTCTTTGAAGCTATTTGTGTTGCAAAGGTCAGATGTATTTCTATTCTGGACTTGCTCTTTCAGATGAAATTTCTCTTCATGTGTCTCCTAATTCTTCAGGAAGGTCCATTCACTTCAAGTTTTATGGACCATCTCCGCCCAAAACCACTTCCTCTCTTTGCCTTGGCCGGTCCGGTCCGCCGAACTGTGAGGAGGGCAGGAGCGAGGAGGGCAGGAGCCTCTCCCCCGAGGTGTCTGAAGCATCTTCACCAAAGAGAACCAGTGATTCAAGTGTCTGAGGCAGTCCTATGGCAGTCCCAGACAGGTCGCGTCCGGGATAGGTGCATCCCAGATGCTCCAAACAGCCCTTGGTCTCTCAAAACCTAGGGTTTTGAGACTCATTAGATGTTGGAGCCGGGGCCATCCAAGCATCGTACCCAAAAGGGTCGACTTAAACGGCTCTGTCTCATGTGTGTATAGAAGGGTAAATGTAGACTCTTGAGGACCATAAACCCCCCTCGGTTCAACTGGAAATCCTCTTTAAATGGAGGGTTTAGTAATCAAGAGACTACACTAAATGCAATAAATGTACAGTATCGTTTCCCTCACGGCCCAGTCGATCAACTGCCTTGAAGGATGGGTCCTGGAGCTGCCGTGGAGGGTACCAGGACCAATGCAGCCTGACAACAGAGCCGGACCGTGCGAAGCTATCATAGACGTTCAAGCATTGATCATCAATAATTAGATTGTTTGGATAATTGATGGATTGTGACCAGATTGTGACCTACGGAAATCCTACACTACAGGTTTAAGAAATTTGTGTAGAAACAAACCAATTGTGGATATGTTATGCTGCATGGTCAAATGATGATAAACAAGTACGTCGCCGTGCTTTCTTGGTGGATGTCACTTTATTGAACTCGTTGTCTGTGGTATACGACTTGATAGGCCATCCTACAGTACGTAGTATCTAGGAAGGGACAATCTAATCTGACAGTGCCATTTTGGGGGCTGGGGATTGTGCTGCCTATGCTCGGAGTTCCCAAATGCATACACGACATTCTGCAAGCATTCCAAGGTGGAGTCCATCTCCAAATATCCGCCAAGTCAATTCTGAACGTCAAGCCGTTTCAGGTTGTCCAACATGCTGAAGCCATGGGGTGAAACCCGTTTTGGGCCACAAAGCGCCACTATGGATCGCTTCCCCCTGTGACCCTCGCATGACCGGAAACCAAGGATCCCAGAAGGGTCTCATGATGTCTATCATCTTGAGAAAGCTCCGAGGCACAGAAACAATTTGGAGATACCCTCCTGCAGACGCCTGAATCGGCCTGAATCGGCCGATTCAAACTCCTCCGTGGTTTTTTTGGAACGAACCAAATCCCCGGATTCTAAGGGGCATGTATCAAACAGCCCAAGGTCCATCGGTTTTCAGATGACACATCTCTCACGCCCGGCCAAAGCGTTGACCAGTTAGTTGATGGACAACATCCGAAACAGACCGAGAGGTCGAGGATACAGAATAACCCCCAAGCCCTAGGGGCCCTAAGGATCTGATGGGAGGTCCTGTAGGTGCCAGGGTGGCGTACCGAACCTGAGGGGACTCGGTACGAAACGGATCCCATCGGGGAAGAAAGTTCATATCTCTCAACTGGCTTTTTGGTGGATCTGAACCCCGCTGTGTCGTCCTTTTTGCTGCGGGATTCTCTGTTCTTTCAGCCTCCATTGCCCTAGCATGGCGACTGATTGAGAAAGCAAAAGCTGTTGGTGGCCGCTCCAACAAAGCAGCACCATAGACCTGCGCTAGCCCAGCTAACAGTTGCTTGTGGAATATCCACGAACAACACCTGGAAGACTTGCAGGTTGACTGAACCTGCTTTGCATTCACCAGCGGGCTTAACAGGGTGTACCCTCTTTTGATATGATTCTTGGCCCCAGTTGGCGTAGTTGCCAGCTTGTGACTACCACAGCTACAAAGGGTGGTCATGTATTTGTTCACCGCGAAAAATCTGTCACCCCAACTGTCGACTGTCAACGACTGACTCCCTCAGTTTGCCCTTGAAAACCAATGCCCCCAGGATATCACGGTGATCAGGAGAGAAGCGAGTCCGCAACGGAGGGCTGATGGGGGACCATGTGCTCGGACCAGTGTGTCTATCTACCACTCACCGCAAAGTACAATATCCCAGACGCGACCCTGGACCCTCATATGGAGGGGTCGGACCCTCATATGGAGGGGTCTCAAAACCTAGCTTTTGAGGGACCAAGGGCTGTTTGGAGCGTCTGGGATGCACGTATCCCAGACGCGACTAATGGGACTGCCATAGGACTGCCGATCGGGGGTGCCAGGGGGGTCAACTGATCGGCATATATTCCATACATGGAGTGTATGGGATATGCACACATAATATTACAAATATATCAGTTCTCCCCCTACATCTAAGCAACCCCCCAAATACATCATAGATTGCGTACAATCGATCGCACGTTGCGGGCGATCTAAGACATCGAAGCGTTGGACATCGAGCGTCGCGCAAGTCTATGACTCCAACGACTGTGACCCAGATTCAAACTTGGGATGGCCAAAGATAGATCACCATCTTTCGCTTTTGTCACAAATGGCTCATTGCAGGACAATGCGCAGGAAAAAACACCTTACAAGCTGTGAATCAAGGAGCATTTGATCAACAAGAACCACCACTCTGAGAACACCAATTTCTTCCACGAAACAGCTTCACGCATTCTATGCAGAACTCCTGCAAGAAGCATGAGCATGGGTCGGAAACTTTCCACATATCCTGTCGATCGTTAGATCCAAAGGAATCAAACGAGACTCGACCCACACTCCACTCGGATGGTGCAAATGTCGCTTGCTGCAGGACCACTCGGGGGATGACGAAGAAGGCGACGTACCCCCTGTCCCAGCGAAAAGACGGATTTCATGTGCACAAAGGGGCCCCGCGAATGCCCTGCAGCCACCTTCGCTCGGTGTGGTTGTGTGGCTTGAGCTATGAAGGTGATGCAGGACAGGCAGGACGCACGAAGGCGAGACCACGGATGGACTGTGAGCCGGTCTGTCTCTGAACTGTGGTCTGGCTCATTCAGATTGACATGCTTCGACATGGCTCGTGCTGAAGGCACGTGGCTGTCGTTGCTGTCGTTGCTCTTACCCAGGCATTGGATTCACCTAGTCATCATTCCTCAAAACGAAACAGATTGACCATCAAGAGAACCTACTTGGAGTGGAGGTGAAAATCGCCATGTCAGACTAGATCTCTTGAGCCATATAAAACATCCCTAAGGATCCAAATGGACCCTCCATAGAAGGGGTCGAACCCTGCTCTTCACAGGGATAACTGGGGTTCCTCAAAATCCTTGTTTTTGAGGGTCCGGATCCTGATCGGGGTATATAATTATTGTGGTCTCAAAATGGGGGATCCCCAAAATTCGATGGTTTCGTACTGAAACAGATTGACACCTTCCCCAGTCACGCTCCCCCTCGCACCTTCTAAGCCAGGACCATCCAAGAGGTGCCTATCAATAGCCTCTTGGAGGTAAAGGGTGTGTCCAAAAAACACCTGTTGGAAGGTCCTGGAGAAGGTGGGACCAAAATGGTGCGCGGGTGCTGGCGCCCGGTCCAGTCAGACCTTTCCGTTGGAGCCCTTGAGCCCGAACGAGCCCATACACGACCTGTCTGGGACGTTCGGCAGGACTGCCGCCCCAGAAAGGTTCCCCCTGGCACCACCACCCGAATTGATCGGCAGTCCGGACTGGCAGTCCCAGACAGGTCGCGTCTGGGTAGGATAAATGATACACCCAAACGCTCCAAACAGGCCTTGGGCCCTCAAAACCATAGGGATTTGAGGATCCGGACCCCTTCAAACGATTCGGGTCCGACCCCTGCATAGGTTCGGGTCCAGGAGCGTCTGGGCATGGATGATTATTTAGAAACTTCCTTAGATCTGAAACACCTTAACGATCTGAAAGTCATCCAACGAAGCAACCGCTCCCAAGGACCCGCAAAGCGAAGCATGCCCATGTACCCACACGCCCTGGATTCTTGTTGGGGCACGACCACATCACTCTCTATATAATATGTGGTTAAAAACAAAGGAACATTGGCCACCAGAAACCAACAAAACCTCATGTTGTCCTTTCTTTCAACAACTTTGTCCAGCCACAAACCAGCCCGCGGCCGCTGAGTGTCCGCCATCTTAGGCAGATGCGGAACCTTCGACCTTATCAGAATGATAGCCACTGGCAATCTTGGCATCGAGTTCCACACGCATGCTGTCCTGGTGATGCGGAGTTTCAAGCGCGTAACGTCCAGTTTCGAGCCGCTGCCGGTGGAAAAAGCACTGGCCATGTACATAGATGTTCAAGCTGGGTATTGGGCGGGTATCAGGCCAGGATCAGATTGAATGTCTATTATAAGCAATAATAAGGTTGTTGGGACTACACATCATAACCAAGACCTTGTGAAGACTGGCCCATTCTCTAGACTGCGTTCGACTGCGTTCGACTGCACCAGCTGGTCCTTCGGCAGTTGTGGGTAAGATCGCACTCTTCTTGGGGATTTCATCGCACTGCTTGAACTCATTCCCGTATGAGGATGGACCAGACTTGTCCAATTGACGAAAGAACGGTTTCCAGGTGTTCGAAAGTCCTCCATAACTGACCATGTGTGTTTTTAAAAGCGATAGGGCTGAGGGTTCTCTGCCTTCACTCTTCTGTTGATGGATCCTGGCACAGCGCTGCACTCCCAATATACTGTTTTTCAGAGGTATCCTCTCCGTTCCGTCCAACAGAAGGTACCCGAAAGGGGATCAGGGAACAGACAGCTGGCACCTTCCCGATATGTGTCTGGTTGTTGGCTTGGGACTCAAGATATCTCATGAATCAACAGTCGCGAATCCATCCAGCAGCCTCTACTCTGCCACTCTCACAACATAATATATCCCAGACACTCCATGTATGCCATATTTGCCTACATTGGGGTGGCATATATTCCATACATGGAGTGTATGGGTATACCTGGACCCGCCTTCACAGGTGTTTCCTGGTGGCAACAGGTGCCCAGAAACAATGTTTCCCAAAACAGCCTGTCTGAGGGTCCTGGTATATAAGTATATATATATATACACATACACGTGCAATCACATGCACATACTAATACAGTATACAATTATATTCCGTTATATTCAGTATTACACGATATACCTAGTCATGGAAGCGGATTGGTAGAAGAACATGGTCCACCGGAAGTCTCTCTGGACCACGCTGGTGCAGACCCGCGCTCGCGCTGACAGGCTGAATCTCCATCAGTGGAACTGGACAACATGCAACACTGAGTTCCATTGATTGAGATCTGGCGTGTCATTGCCAGCAGGCTTCCATACTAGCATCATGTTATATGGTCATCCATACTGGCTTGTTTTTTTCGATGGTGTGGTCATCCATACTTGCGAGTCGAGTTCTCCAAACACCCAGTCTCGTGCCTTGATGAAGTCGTCGGGCAAATCCACTCGCTTCATCACCTTGATGCCGGCACCAGTGATGGCCTCATACTTCCTGAGCACGGCGTGCCATGCGGCTCCGGAACAGAATGGTGCCATGCGCGGCGCTAATAAAAAGATGGAACAGAAGAGCAGGTTGATTCCGCAACTGATGGAGTGAAAAGCAAATGATATATTAAGTAAGTGCTAGAAAATGTAGGGGGGCACCACCTCAAATGGTCTACAAATGATTCCAAGCAGGTCCCTCCAGCTTGACTAACCATCTCCGGTCGACCCATGCAACTACACGTCGCGGGTTGCGCCAACAAACATAGCCTACACATGTTTACACATTACTTTGTGGTACTCTGGGACCAACGGGGTTCACTCTAAGAGGTTGAAAAGTCCATACCCATACACTCCATGCATGGAGTATATGCCTACATTGACCCCCAAAATCCAAAAACACCCGGCCCAAAAACTATAAGAACAACATCAACATCGGCCCATTCCCGCCGAATGGCTCATTGCTCATTGAGCAAAGGAGGTCAATGCGCCTGATGCCCATCCAGTTCCTCAGTGCGGCGATTCACGCGCCGATTCGAAGCACCAATTCTTCCTCCTGGGAGATCTGAACTCCAACATCACAGAGACTTCCCCGCAAGAGGAGACTTCAGTGATGAGGTCGTCCAGCTCCCAGTGTCTGGGTCGGATGTCCGACAATGCTGGACAAACCCCGAGCCAGCATTTGCGGTTGAAGCAGCAAGGAACAAAAGCAGTTGGACTGTAGCCTGGTCGAGGTTGAGGTAGCCTGATCGTGGTATACGGCCAGTTTCGACATCCACATATCACATCAACCCTCTCGAATTCCCAACTGCGTATTGAGTTGTGCAGGCTTCCACAGACCATCCGTTTTCTTTGGGGCGAAATCGGGCCGTCCCTTGATTCTTCAGACCGGCTGAACTTCAGGCCGTCCCTAACATCAAGTAGCCCCCCCCCCAACTTAGCACCCAACGAACGCACACCTCCGAACGCCCAACCTCCGAACGAGCCCGAGAAGCAAGGCATCGGGCATCATCGTCTGAAAGCGGGCGTCCCGGATGCCGGCAATGGCCTCCGTGTGGTGGAAATACATCTCCTCAGACCGCCGACCCGACCGCCGTCCCACGACGGTTCGGTTTGCGCGGTCTCTGTTCGGTTCGGGCGGAAAGCACGGAAGCACGGTGGTGACAGCACGGTGCAGTTTGTCGCGGTGGTGGACATGGAAAGGGCGAACAGGAGGATGGAAGGGCTCGGTGCTTTTTGGTTGGTGGGCGAAAGTGGTGGTGCTGACACATGAGCCTGAAAAATGATCTGCTGTAGCTAATGATTACATGAAATTCCAAAGAAACAGCTGGAAAACAGCTATCCGTGCTATCCGTGACGCGCCTTCTGAATCTGTTTGATTCATTCCTGCATGAGTCTGCGTTGACCAGCTCCAGGACGCAGAAGCGGTTGAGCCGTCAGACTTCAGCAGACGGGGTTATAGAGGTGTCAAATAACAAATCTCCAAATTCAAGGTGTGTAGGCTAGGTGTGTTCAATAAAGTGATTTGTGCTTTGTAGAGGTTATCAGAATTCCGCACAAATCACTTGATTAATCCTTATGACCAGCTACTGAAGAGATCGTGTGGGCTCCGGGTTTATTGCGTCGGTAAACGGTGTTTTTTGCGACGGTGCACATGTACCGGTGTTTTTTGCGTCGGTGCTGGAACGGTGTTTTCTGCGTCGGTTGGCCGGTGTTTATTGCGACGGCCCCGGGGTTTGTCGCGTCGGCAAACAGTGTTTTCTGGGACGGTTGGTGTTTTTTGCGTCGGTAACGGGTGTTTTCGGCGTCGGCTGCCTCCTCCTCTTCCTCCTCCTTCTCCTGCTCCTGCTGCTGCTCCTCCTTCTCCTCCTCCTTGTTCTTCTTCTCCTCGTCCTGCTCCTCCTTCTCTTCCTCCTTTCCTCCTCCTCCTCCTCCTTCTCCTCCTCCTCCTCCAACTCCTCCTCCTCGTCCTCCTCCTTTTCCTTGGCCTCTTCCTCCTGCTCCTCCTCCTCCTCCTGCTCCTCCTCCTCCTCCTCTTCTTCGCCTCCTCCTCTTCCTCCTCCTCCTCCTTCTCCTCTCTTCTTCCGCCTGCTCCTCCTCCAGGCGCTGCGCCCTCCCCCCGATCCATCCCTCCCGCTTTTTTATTGTAGCAACTCCCGTATACGCAGTACCCACCGTAGCAACACCAACAACAACAGCAACAGCAACAGCAACAACAACAACAACAACAAAGGTCTTCCATGTCTGCAGTCCGGGGGGAGGCGCTGCGCGCCGTGCGATCGCCATCATCATTATCCCAAGCCCCATCCGCATCATCATCATTAACATCATTCTCATCATCTTGGTCATCATCTGCATCATCATCAGCATCATCATCATCATCATCAACATCATCATCTTCTTCTTCCTCTTCATCATCATCATCATCTTCATCACCATCATCTTCATCATCATCTTCCTCGTCATCATCATAATCATCCTCAGCCGCATCATCATCACCATCATCAGCATCTTCATCATCAGCATCATCATCATCATCGTCATCATCATCATCATCTTTTCTTCTTCGTTATCATCATCCTCATCATCATCCGCAGCCTCATCATCATCACCATCATCAGCATCATCAACAGCATCACCATCATCATCCTCATCCTCATCCTCCTCATCATCTGCGTCATCATTAGCATCATCTGCATCAACATCACCATTTTCATCATCCTCATGACCATCATCAGCCTCCTTATCCTACTACTACTGCTACGACTTCTTCTCCTCCTCCTTGTCGGTCGCCCGCCGGCCCAGGTGGACACGAGGATGGTAGACCTGAGAGAATGACCGGCTGCATGGCGTCCAGGTTGGAAGAAGGAAAAGGGCATGTCATGCGCAAGGAGATGCTGCGCAGTAAAGCAGTATTGCAGTTTGAAAGGCTTAATTGAAAGACCTGACATGAGGAAGCTGAAGCTCGAAATTTAAAGAAACTAAAAGTAGAACAAGGCTGTTACACAAAGAAAGCACTGTCAGCGAAGTTGCGGCACAAACTTTTCAGCAGCGTGATGGACCTGCACCAACGGCTTTCTTTGAAGCAAATCACCCTGTACGTCTGCGCCGTTTCCGCGGCGGCTCAGCAGCAGTTGTTCGACGCCCGGTACGCTTGCGAGCTTTTGGGACATCATTGAGCAGTAATGAGTCCGAAGGGAATGTCGGCAGCGCCAAGCTGCGAAGGAACGTCGAATGCTCGCACTGGGCATGCATTGTTGCGGCAGCACAAGAACAAAGGAGGGACGTCGGCCGCGCCCGCAGATACACAACATCTTCAAAGTGAAAGCGAAGGGCCTGCAATGAAAGATTGCCGGAATCGTCAAACAACTGAGGCAAACTGTTTGCATGCAGCAGCGTCGGCTGAAGAAGGAACCGCAAGATTCCCTGCGCCAAGCTACGATTCACCGGCGATGTGGCGGCAGTGGCTGCACAGGCAACACACGAATGATCTGTGGACTGTTGAAGGACATAGCACGAGTGCGGTGGCAACTTGGAGAAGTTGGCTGCTGTAGTGCGCCCGGCTCGCGCTAAAGCCGCACCATTGACTAACTGAGGGTCCTGTCCGGCCGGCTGAAAAGACAAAGGCGAAGCATCCATCCAAGAGTACCAGTCTTGCCAATGTTGTGTGTAGAGCCTTTGTAGGACGCACAAGCAATGGTTGATGTCTCCACGGCCACCGAGAGAAGCCAATTCCGTTTGCCACGCGCCATGCACAGCTTCTGCGGGCTCACTGCCGCTGCCCGATCCGGGTATAATGCCATCAAAGCCAACCCAGAAACTCACATAAATAAGATCCTGTGGGCCAGCGGCTTGCTCGGAAAAGATAGATGGCAAAGGCCGCTCGTATGATTGCAACCAATCGGCTAGAATCGGTTCATCCATGCGTCGCAAAGAAGCCAGGAAAGCTTTCCAGAGCCAGCTAAACAGAGGCAATGTCGGGATGAACCGCAGCAGCGACACCACAGTCAAGGCATAGTGCAAATGCTTTTTCACATGTTTTCCTTTGTGAAGAACAACCTGACGGCACTTGGACCGCATGACCGTGTGAGATTTTTCTTTGAAATGGAAAAAATCATCAGATGCCCGAGAGTGTGGGAAGACTTCTCGACGAGCTTCTTCGGCGCTGGGGTGAAAGTCCTTGTGGATTTGAAGGCTTCGCTGCTCGGGCAGAGGCAAGCGGCTCGGCTGGCGTTCTGCCCACAAGTCGCAACAGGTCCGAAAAAGGCGGCAATAGTTGGGCTTTGTTTCGGCGTGAAAAATTGCCTGCGCAACGGGCATGCCATGCGACGTCCAAGCACGGCTTTGAGTCCGAGAGCCTTTGCCAAGTTTGGGCAAGCGCGTCTTGCGCAGCTGGTCCTTGACCAATAAGCTGACTGTGGCCACGCCCATTCCGCGGGTCAACACCTTCATCTTGGTGTCCACAGAAAGGGCGACATCTAGACCAGTGTAACGGTCAAAGGTGTTCAGCGTCCCGGGAGAAGCGAAAAGGATACAGACTTCCGTATCCGTGATGATTGGGTCCCGCAGAAGAAACAATGCATCGATTTGCTTTGGAAGGCTTCGTGGCAACTGACTAACTTCCAAAGCAACCGCTGCCACAACAGACTTGTCTTTGTCGAGGGCATCCTTGTTTTTGCGGCTGTTGTTTCTCAACCAATTGGCAAGCTGGGTGTTGTCAGGCAATGATGCATCGGCACAGCCTGCAGCTAGAAGGGCCACGCGCAAATTCTTGGCCCCACGGCCACCTCCGGAGAGGAAGCGGGCAGCAATTTCGCGCTGCTTTTCGTTGAAGATTTTCCCTGACGCACAAGGTACAGCACCGTCATGCCCGGTGTGTTCACCAGATGCCTGAACGACCAAAGTTCCAGGGCTGTACAAACTCTTGCTGAGAATGTAGTGGGTTCGCCAGCAATGGGTGCACAGTTCGCTTTCTACGCAGCGAACCTCACTCAAAATGCGTTCTTTGTTTTGCCACAAAGTCCGCACGGCCACTCTGGTGTCAGCCCATTCAGGTCTGCGGCGCAGGTGCTGCAAAAGCTGCTGGTTGGACATCAAAGGAGACCCAAGCTCCACCCGAGAAATGTCGCGCCACTGGATGGCTTGCTTCTTCTTCCTTGGTTTGGCTGGTTGATTTGGGTGGGCACTTGCACCGCCACGCGCAACTTGTGGAGACGGTTTTGCAACACGAGGCACTGCACTTTGCAAAGGTTGAAGCTCTTGCTCCCCGGAGTCCACTGCTGTGTCTTTGCTTCCACACACACCCGAATCAACGTCCACGCACCCTCCACGGCAGGTGCCTAGAAAAGCTGCATGATCAACATGTGAACGTTTTCCGAAATGGGAAAGTGGCACCCGGTGTTTCCGCAACCAATCCAAACAACCAGGAGACAGTGACCCGACATGATATTTGCGGAATCGCGCAGTACCACCGGAGCTGCACAGCTCCCCAAGCCCAAGGTCTTTCAGCTGCAACCACAAATCAGCGATGCGTTGGCGGGCCAGATCCGCCGCGTTGCAGGAGCCTTTCTCGATACTTCGTTTCAATGCCAGGTCTGCACAAAAAATGTGTTCCAAGGTGATGACAGAGCCAGGCGCTCCCCGCAAAATGCGGAGCAGCAATGGAAGTAAATCATCCTCCGCGTCGCGGAAGTCGTGCCGACGGTGCAACCAAGTTTGCTCTTTGGAAGTGACGCTGAGGATTGCCTGGCCAAAAAGATACCGCTTCAGCATGAATTGGACACTCGCAATGAAACACTCGTTGGACACAGTCGTGGGAAACTCATCCGGCAAATCACGCCCCAACGCACTTGGCCACAAATTCGCCACCAGGTGGTTTGTCAGCACGGCGGTGCCCAGCCAATACATGGCCTTGGGCATGGCCTCCCGAAAGACCGTGTGCACGGAATCTTTGCGAGCAAACAAGCGGCCAATCTCTTCAAGCTCAACAATGACCGCACGCTGTGCATGTGTAGTTTCAAAGACAAAGTCGGCTGAAGTGGTAATATGAGGCCCAAACCGCCGGATGATAGCACTAAAAAGCTGCTCGAGAATAGGCACAGTGACATCTTGCAAGAAGCCATTCCAAGACTGCTTGCCCATATTCAAACGAGCTCCAAAGGAAAAGAGAAAGCGCTGCACCAATCCAAGTGGTTTGGTTGCTGCCACTGGCGCCCACCAATTAGAAAGAAACAGTTCCTGCTGCAAAAAAATTATGTGAACATTTGTTTCTTTCAAAGTCATGCCAACTGGTTCTGGCACAGGGGCTGTTGGATCAGGAACCTTGTGCTTCAACACTTTTTGGCGGTCAACTTGGGTGCTGAAGCTAAAAGAGCCACCGTGGGCAGCATTGAGAAACAGTTGGAAATCAATGAACTTGGATGGGTCAGTGGCTCCACCGTTGGCAAAAGCAGGGCAAAGGCAGGCGCCAGCTTCATCCGAATGTATTGCCAGATATCCGTCACAGAAACGAAGCTTTTCGCGAGCCGCTGCGGAAGTGCTGCCCTGTTGCAGGTGAAACTGGTCGCCAGGTGAGCCCACGGTGAAAGCTGTGTTCTGGTGCAACGCCCTCTCCACAGCTTCGACGATTGGCATCATCGCTGGTGACTTCCCTTCAGCGACGTTTGCAGTGCCAACCATCCAATACCGATTCTTGGTATGATACCGCTCAGTGAGTTGCACGCCGGCCCGCTTGTGCACCACTGCATTTCCGAAACTTTGCACTAGATCGATCCAGAATACCAGTGGAATAGCCGTGGCTCGGGCTGTGGCTTCAAGCAGGACGGCCAAAGGGTAGACCATGGTGTCTCCGATCCATGGCACGACTTCAAGAGCAGCGTGACTGTTCACATTGTCCAAGCAAAGGTCAGAGACTTGCGCCTGGTAATGCTCCGCGATCTTGTCCAGAGTGACCTCCGGGTCGGCTGAGAAGAGGGGAAGTTCAGAGAGAAAAGCACGACAATCTCCTGCGTTCTCAAACAATTCAAGAAGATGCAGGGCATGGTCACCCAATGCATCATGGCCATGGCTTTCAGGCAAAAATTGCGGCGGCATCTGCGGCTGGTGGATGGCAGAAGCAGTGGCTTGCAGCGTCTCAGTTGCACCTGTACCGTCCTGGCCAGGGAGCATATCAAGCGGTGAACGTCAAAACAGCGCAAAAAAAGGACAAAGCCGACAGGTGTGGTAACCAGGAAAAGCAGCCCCAAAAAATGAAACCGTTCTGGCCCACCTCCGTCAAAGAAGCCGACAATGGAGCGCTGAAATCCAACGCATCACGGCCATGACCTTCAGGCAAAATGTCCGGTGGCATGGAGCCCTGGGGCAGGCCAGACGCACGGGCTGGCTTTGTACCTTCTGCACTTGGATGCACCTGGTCGAGGGATCCAAGAAATCAATGAACGTTAAAAAACGGACAGGATTGGCGGCGGATCAAAGAAACTAAGCAAGGTCAAAAAACAATGCACAAAAATGAAGGGAAATGGACTAGCAAAACGTGTAGTCGAAAGATCCCACCTCGGTCGGAGAAGATGATCGTGGTGAAATAGCTTCTTGAACTCGTTCATACAAGAAATACCTCGCATGAGTCTGTAAGTGTGAAGGGTCAGTCGGAAAACGTTTGGGTGCATCTCCATCATTGTACTGCACCCACACGTCATCCGGCGCCAGCACAAATGCAACATAGTGACCACGGTGGTAGGAGTCCCCTAGATGCAGTACTGCTGCCCGGAGGCGATACACGTAGTTTGCATGTTCAAACTCAGGGGGCGCAAACACAGCTGTGCGGTTCAGGGGCAGGCCAGGATCGGTTTCGCGAACGAGCTGTATGAGCGCAACGTCCCCCAAGTGCCATGATGAAACTTGATGCAACACACTTTTAACTTTGCAAAGTGGACATTCCAAACCTCCATCAACAATCTCCTCGCTGTGAGGTAAAAGCAAGTCTGTCAAGTCAAGGGCAGCAGTTTCATCAAAGGGTGGAAGAGAGATTAACGCCACTGGGTGTGGCGCAAGCACGGGCTGACAGGTTGGAAGTTCCATCGGGCACTGGCACCGCACCTCATGGCTTCGTGTTTGCAAATATTCCACTGTCAAGATGTTCAAGACTCCGAGATCAATGGCAGCAAGCTTTCCCAAAAATTCCAAAGGGTCTTGCTGGCGATCAAAAGTAAGCTGCAAGCCGCGCAGTGGCTCGGTCCACACCGGCTCCAAATCAGTCGCCGATTCACGAGGAGAGCTCACAGCATGCGTTTCTCGCAAGGCACACTGCCAGCAAGAGCTTCCACATTGTCTGGTCTGCTGGTGTTGAGAGATGGAATTAACTATGGGCAAGCATGCAAACATGGACTGCAGCAAGCTAGCCAGCCAACAGGATGTGCCCGAGACGTTGGGAAACACGCCGCGGAAAGAGAAGCCTGCGACGGAGCACGACGAAACGGACGAGCGTGAAGTCCGACCCCCCACGATCTCCAACCCCGCCTGCGGTGTTGCCGTTGGAAACGTGAGCTGCTTTGTTGCGACACTTGCGTGAAATGGTCCACCGGAACGTGGTCAAGACTTGCGCTGCAGCAGTTCCAAAAGGAATGTGGGGGCTGAGGTCGGACACGCTGTGCACAACCTCGCAAGTCTTGACCGTTCTATATGCCTTTGCAAACTTTAAAAGGCCTGCAGTACCAACGGCTGCAAGCTAAGCATGGACCAGCCTCGAGCTCCAGCGCCGGCGCCATGGCGCGGTTGTCGGAAATCTCGCGCAGCCTCACGATGTGCAAACGCAACAAAACCAAAGACTAAACACAGTCATCAGGACCGGACGCAGTCGTCACCAGAGAACGTCGCCACGCCCGGGTGGGGCGACCCCACTGCTGCGTGTTGCCTCACACGAAGCAAAGCAGAAACAAAGACAGCCAACCCCGCAGGTGTACAATGACTAAGGCCCCGGCACCACGCTATGTCGAAGAACAGCCCGAAAGGACACTCCTGTCAAAAGTCTCATGCGCTGGCAACCGAAAAGTCGGCGCGAGCCACACCCAGCCTCCTGCGCTTGCCTCCAAGCAAAATCCAGAAAAGCATCATCCTGGAAGGGCCGAATCTCTGCAAGAACAAACCAGCCGAGCCTAGGAAAGTGGAGTATACGAGCATCCGATGCACACAGCGCAGCTAACCGCCTCCGTCGTGGTAGCACACGGGCCACGAGCACGGCGGCGCCTGACTGGATAGCAGGAACCGAGCATGTGAAAACCACGTCTGACACTGACGGACCTGTGCTTTTTCTGGGAGCACGGGGTGGCCTGCCGCGGACGTGCCATGAAGAGCCGGTCCCACCCCGAAACGTCGCGCAACTGTGAGGCTTCGACCGTGCGAACTGGCTCCAGGGCTTCCTGTCACAGCAAGACAGCAACGAGCAACGGCTGTTACGCTGCTACGCCCTTACAGCTCAACATACATACTCTGCACGGGGCCTGTGGAACATCGTTGCACGGCACATGGATCCACCCCACCTGGCAAACGATTCTGTAGCAAAAGCGGTCCAGGCGTGCACGCACTGAGGCCCGGACAGGGGTTTTCAAGGTGAGGCTGCAGCCCCAAAACTTGCGGAGAAACCTGTCCACGTCGAACGCCTGGCAGCGCCGCGCGCAGTCATCGCAGCAGAAGTTTGCAGCGCAACGGGCCTCCAAATCGCAGTCAGGATCGTCCGCCCAACGCAGCGCCATCAGGGGAGCCTGGTGGAAAGCACCGGCACGGAAAACGGAAGTCAGGGAGAAGCAAGAGCAACTGCAAGAAACTTCTGAGAGTGCGGCAGTGGAATCTGCAGCCCCGGAACAGAACAAACTCTAGAACCAGAACTTGCAGCAAGGGAGGCACCAACGGACATGCAGAGGGCAACCGGGGGAAGCGGAAAAAACGACAACGCTTGACTCGCACCGGCTGAGCCGCTGGCACTCGAAGAAAATGACGGCAGCGCAGCCTTGGCAACAAGAATTGGCAAAGCCCCACCGCTGAGTGAGAAGCCTCTGGGCGCCAAGCTCCGCGACCAAAGCTCCGCGACCCAACGCGAAGATGACGGCAGCGCAGCCTTGGCAACAAGAACGAGCAAAGCCCCACCGCTGAGTGAGAAGCCGCTGGGCGCCAAGCTCCGCGACCAAGCTCCGCGACCAAGCTCCGCGACCAAACTCGAGGAGGATGGCAGCGCAGCCTTGGCCGCGACCAAAGCTCCGCGACCAAACTCCAGAAACAGCCAGGCACGTTATTTGAGCTGCTGGCCGCTGGCGTTCGAAAAAAGTGATCAGAAGGCAGCCTCGGCTACAAGATTCCACGATGACAAGCTAAAGGGGTACCGGCGCAAAAAACACCGACCAACTGTCGCAAAAAACACCGTGGCTGGGGCACCGACGCAAAAAACACCGATTGCTGGTAGACAAAACACCGTACAAGTTGACTGTCTGGAAGAACACCGATTACTGACGCAATAAACACCAAGCCCGATCTCAAGAGTATGGGAAAGTATGGGGTCTCCAAGACTTCCGTGTTTCACTGCAAAACAGGGCAAAACCATATGAGACACCGATTAGATGGCTTAAAGCATGCACAGTGGATTCACACAGCACCATCACCCAACAGGTGGTTGATACGGACCCCAAAGAGATCTTGGGGTGCCAGTGCCATCGAACCTCTGCATAGGCTCTGCACATCTCCAAAAGTTCCATATCACGAATCTGCGACTCTTCAGAGGTCTCGGGGGAGAGTGTGAGACCAATCCAAGTCTGACGCAGTTGCGGCATTTTTTTACTGTGACCAAGTCTCATCCCAAAATCCAGTGACTCCAAGACTGAACACATTGCCCATCATTGCCCTTTGGAGATCAAACATTCTCTGCATATGTCCATCGATAGTACCAGAATTCACAGGATGCTGGAGATCCAACTAAGCAATCATGTCACATTCACCGGACTTGCAGATTCCAAGCATACCATCCCCTTACCGTCCCCTGAGTCATTGAAGTCTATATAATCTTCCCATCGACCGCTGCCATGATGCTGGACGGTCGCCGCCATCTTGGTTCACCCGCGCATTGTAGACGCGGAACTTGATGACCTCGCCCAAACCTTGGTAAGGATCCGGACCCGAAACAAAACAATGGTTTTGAGAGGGCCCAGTTGCCCCGTAGTTCACAGCAGGGTTCGACCCCTTCAGACTGGAGGGTCCGTTTGGATGACTTCAGATCGGAGATGTCCGAGTTGGTTTCAGAGGTTTGATGGCACCCGCTTTAGATGTCTTTTAGATGGGTGTCCATATAAACCACCGACCTTAGACCTTGCGCCATCTACTCTGAAAGCACTGTATCTCTTGAAACATGTATTTTTGGGCTTCAAGACTGGAGACCATGGTGTGTTAGACAAGGGCTCCTCCCAAAACACCGAGGATATCTTGGGGAAAAAACATGGTGTACCTCCTAGTATGCTTCTCTTGTTCACATGGTCCCTATTTACATAGGACTCCAACGACCTCAGTGCTCCAGTGAAAATGGAGGTCGGTTGGTGGGGGAAACATATGAGGCCAACGACCTGAGTCGACGTGCTTATGGAACCAATCCCAGATGTATACACCCCCAACCAGTACAGTACCAGCTGACCCAACAGTTTTCAAGGAAGCTGATTTTGCGCATCAAGAAAAGCATAGACTCCAACTCACAAACATGGAAGTGGAGTTCAGCACCTGTTTGTAAAGGAGTCGATGGTCTAGACTCCAGCTTCGCCCCGGGAGACCAGGCACCACTCGTGGTCGTCTACCTCCGTTCCGGTTCGATGGCTATGGTGGTCTTGGGGGGGGTCGAAGACCACCGGTCACCTGAGGAGATGGGCCAGGCCAGCCCAAACAGGTTTGTGGAAGGGCGGACATCTGCTACTGAGCTTGCTACGCCCAGACGGAACGACGGATATATGTGCTGAGCAAGAAGAACTCCCCAATGAGCCCAAACAATGGAAACAAGGACCCCTTTGGAAAGAACGTGCACAACCCTGTGGTTGAAAAAGAAAGTAGGAAAGCATATTTTTTCGCCACGGGCCACTACATTGGAGACTTTGCACGGACGAGGCGAGCACTGCGGCAAGCAACCAGAATCATGAGGAAGCAGCAATACTACAAAGGAAATAAACACCAAGCCCAGAAGAAAAATGCATGGACATCCTGCTAATACTTAGATCCCAAAAGGAGAACTCTCTAATTGTTGATCAACAACTTGCTGCAGATGCTGAAGACACACCTTCCATGAACCAGCTTGCCACCTCCACTACTTGTCATAGGGTCCAGGCTGCTCCAAGCATCAACCTCCCGTTCTTTCTCTGAGACACTTCGCCCCTCCTTGCGGTAGTAGATCACAATGCCAACCCCGCCTCTGGTCAATGGGAAGGAGTTGAGAGAATGCATGGTAAAAATGCATGTAAATGCTTTGCTGAAATGAAAGCTGGTGACCTGATGAAGCTGGCTCGGCAGGTTACAGTCCCCTCTCCGGATCCATTGAGATCTCCAGTCCGTCAACGCAGGAATTGCGGGGATGAGCAGGCGGAGCGGCAGCAATGCTTGGCTTGAATCCATGGGGGCGCCCTTTTTGAAGGGCACCAAGCGGTCAGACTGATTGAGACTGATGAAGTGACTGATCCCAACATATTCTGCGGGCATCTCCAGTCATCCTTTGCATATCCAATCAGCAAGGCTAATTAGTTTTTGCAATTTTTTGTCACATACACCACTAAAAATCTGAGTTGAGAGTCTAGATAGGTGGAGAATTCCCCGCAACATGTCCACCATTGGAACCAGGTAAGTGTATATTTGATGTGGCTTCAGTCTTTGGCAAAGTCCCACAACAAGGGTGCACTTCTTTCTTGGAGGTTCAAGTAGTTTGCACTCACTTGGAGCAGAAACGTAGCAAGGATTGATTAGTGCCATCCACATCGCGTGGGCGCCAAATCGTGTGCGTATTGACCCAACCACATGGAAAAAAAGAACTTCAAATCGTTCTTCTAACCCATACACTCCATGTATGGAGTATATGCCTACATTGACCCCCAAAACCCCCCCAATGTAGGCAAATATGGCATACATGGAGTGTCTGGGTAACAACGCACATCTATCGGAGTTCAACTCTTAGAAAGGCGGTTCTCGGACCCAACGGACCGTGAACGCGAGTGGAGGTGACCGGAGCGAAACCCAACCCGCCACTCCCGCCTCTCTGAGCACATTTGACGGCCTCTTCGATGGCAAAGAGTAAGTACCTCTGCAGGGACTCTCTCGGGGGTGGGGGGGCCCAGTGGATGTACTAGAGCTCTGCAGTGGATGTACTAAAGCTTTCTCAGTGGATGGGTCATACCTTTGGCAATCTCAAGCTCTGCAGTGGGTGCCTTTCTTGGGATGTGATGGGATGATACCAGTCTCGCAGGTATATCAAGGTGCCGGAGAGCACAAGTGCATGATGGACATATATTCTGTGCATAACAGAATCCAGTCAAATGAGGACATTGATCAAGAAGTTCCTTGATTTGCTCTCCAGCTTGCTCCTTATGGGAAGTTCCTTTGGGGTTGGACATTAAGACAACAAAAACCTCCTACCTCAGAGGCTTTTCCTCATGACACGGCCACATGACTGGTCAAGCGCATCAAGTGGACCAGCCACGGACCAGGAAGAAGTTCCCCACACTTCTCGAAGTTCCCATACGGCACGTTCCTTTGAATTGGCCCCATACGGCATCCCAATCGGCCCCGATGGCATCCCAATCGGCCACATGCCATCCAAGACATGTTTTAGCCACCCATTGGGATCTCCCATTGCCATGTCGAACAGGGTAACCTCCGCCCTGTCCGAGATCACCGCCCACATCCGTCCACAGAACACCAGGTCTGCACCACGTCGTATACGCACCTCACCCCCTACAGCTCTGCACCCAAGGCACGGCCGACAGCTGCAAATGTCCGAGCCAAAGACGTCGGAGCCGATGCACTCGTCGTGCACGCGCACGGTGACCTCGCCACACACCGTCCGCCGCGGCCGCGGACGGCCGCGGCGCTCGTGCGTCGGGACGTGCGGACGGACGAGCGGACGGACGGAGGCGTCCACGTCCCGGGCCTCGGTCTTCTCGTCCTTCAGCTTGCGCGCGTCGCCAAAGGTGTAGATCGTGAGGCCCCCAACGGCTGGAAGATAGGTCTTCACCTGGGCGGGCGCAAGATGGTGTCCAAAACAGGAAGGATCTGCAGTGTTTTGAGGTTAGGTTTCTATTCATGTGGCTTCCGCTGGAGTTTTGGTGGCAGTGTGACATGTTTGGACTAAATGTGAGGTCAGTGCAAAGGAGCAGCTCATCTGGAAACATGTCTCCAACTTTCCGTGGCTTTGCTTAAACTTGCTCCCAAAAACCCATCCTTGGCCCCAACATCTGGCTGGGAATGTGCAAGAATCGGCATCATTCAACATGCACCATTTCTGGTTGTAGAACGATCCATCGTGACCCACCTGCGACCCACCTACTTGGTCTCTTTGGGTTCAGCATCATTTCTTAACCGTTCAGCAGCAGCATGGTCACCACCGGGGTCCTAAACCCCTGAAGCGCTGCTCGAAGGAATGTGGCGTTTCAGGGTATCTCCCTAATCCAAGCAAAATAGGCCCTATTTTGCTGCATTGGTGTGGTTTCAGAAGGGGGTACAAATGCAGGCAGCTTTTCCAATCCGGGAAATACCATGGGGATACATGCATGGAACTGCCGTGCTTCTCGCGTTTTAACACCGACTCGTCAGACTCGCCAATCGGCTCCAGAGGCGACCCTCCATCCAAGGCACCTTTGGGTCCAGGAGGCGATCGTCGTGGGAGTATTTGTACAAAGCCTGCCCGGTTCCGGACGAGATCCCGGCCCAATGTGCACGAGGTGCGTGGCCGCCCACGTGTGGATGGAGCCGCCCATGGTGTTTTGGGGATGGGTCAAAAACAGGTCAAAACCTGAGGCCCCAACTTCCAGGTCAACCTAGATTGGTCTTGACCCACAGCCATATATATATATATAAGCCAAGGGGACCGTCCATTCAGGCCAGACTTTGATCAACCAACCACCAAGGCGAGCAAGTCCTATACCTTTCCTCTTGCATCTGCGCTCAGGTATCTGAGTTCCAAACAAAAATGACATGCTGTGATCTGCACAAGGCAGCCCCTTGCAAATGTCATTCGGTGGTAATTTTATCGATTTTTATCGGATGCTCATATCACCGTGGTATATCACCATCCCCCAACATCATCCAGCAACTTATCATACCCGGAAAATCCATGTCACGACCGGAAAATCGGTCATGAGTCATGAGTCATGCGGATCATTGGATCAGCAGCTTTTTCGCTCAGGTCCAACTGGTTGACGGGGATGGAAGGTAATGGATGGCACCAGGCCAACACGGGTTTTGTTCAGACCAGGAAGCAGGATAGACTCTGACCTTCAATTCCAGCATTGAAATGGCATGGGGATCATTTTTGGGATCATCTTCCATTCTTTCATCAATCCAACAAAACATAACAAAACCGATGCCATCAGATCTGTGATCAGCCTGTGATCAACCTGTGACCGTCACAGGTTTTCACGGACTGAAGTGGGTGTTTTTTCCCATCCACCTGGCAGGTGCGTGATGTTTTCGGTGTACAAAAAGCATGGCGACCAATATGTATGACATGGATCGAGCTGTTCATTCATCAACTGTGCTGGTTGGATCTGGTTGGATCTGGGAGTCTCTGTGTCTCTGGTCCTTCATTCCCGAAAGCTCGCACCTGACGGAGCTCCTCTTCAGACAAGCCCACGCGCGGCGCCAGCAGCGGCAGATTCCAGGCATAGCTGATGGCACCTCGCAAATCCAATAAACCACCATGAGGTGATCATTCAGAACTCTCTCAATCCACTTTCGATTCGTGCGCCCTGCCAAAGGCTGGGCCAAGTGACGACTCCTTTGACTTGACCAACCCCAGACACTCCATGTGTGCCATATATGCCTACACCCAATGTAGGCATATATATGGCATACATGGAGTGTCTGGGAACTTGACACCAACCGCAAAAATGGAGTCCTGCTGGATTTCGGCGAAACATCCCGCCCACGGTCCGACCGCGCTTCGTTCACACCCATCGCCCCCACGTCCTTCGTCTGCTCGGCCGCGGGCGCGACCGGGGATCGTGGGCCGGGAGCATGCGCCGATTCGCCGATGGTTTGTTCTTTGAAGGCCGTGGCACACTTGGAGGTCACGATCTGCATGTCTGGCAAGACGATGACTCCATCAGGCTTCAAACCCTGTGGCGACGAGAGCAGAAGTCTCATGGGCATGTGGCATTCCGTCTATGTGGACCGAGCTATACTGCATTGGACCGAGCTACGGATTCCAGCAACCAGCTGGAAAAGGGTCACTAACTTCAAAGTATGCCAGTTACGAGCCAATGAGTGACCCCTCAGCCCTGACCATCCACCTGCGAAGCCACCGCACCCAAAGCCACGGTGGTTCGACGCGGCGGTTTTCTGCACGCGCATCACGCAACCTACGCCGCGGTCGCCGGATACGCGCGCGCCGTCAGCTCGGGAATGTCCAACTTGGCTTTGCAGGCGGCGATGGTGGGTGGATGCGCGGTCATGCCCATGGGGTCAAAGGTGCTGATGCGGTCCCAATCTCCTTAGGGCGGGCGCGTATCGGTCCAACGCGTATCGGTCCAACGCATATCCATCTGGATCGGATCCTGCATTGGCCCTTGAAGCAGGAGAAATGGATGGATAAGGCAATATATGGCCATATGATAGATCGCTCTCCAGTAGGCTTTTCGCTTTTCTGGCCGTATCCCCACGTCAAGAGGATGGAACCACCCTGGCAGCGATATAGAGGATTAATTTCTCTGAACAAAAACGCTGAGAGTTGGATCGATTAGTGTTTGTTGGTTTCTCTAGCTTTGTGACCGTTCGTGACCAGACTGGGCCCTTTTTGGGGGGTTCGAAGGTACAAAACGGGCCTCGATAGGCCTTGACTCGCCTCGCAGCCAGTCACGACTTGAAGAAACCAATGGCGATGGAACTTCCCGATCCTGCTCGCACCAAGGCCCTTGAGTCTGGCACCAAGGCTCTCTGAGTCTGGGGGTCATCAATCAGCCCCTTGAACTCAGGCAGGTAGAACTCCGCCTGAAGGAAGGAGCTGACAGTAATTAGACGTCCTTTTCATGCAAAGCCAACGAAACTGAGCGCTTCTTGCACGTCATTGGCAAGAACAAAGACTTCAAATATCGTTGTCGTTATAGTATACGTATTATACATGGAAAAACACATGTTGTAACATGCTAAGACGAATTAAATCATTAATCCTGGTTCTTCAAAGTGACCTTTTGATAACCTGGTTTCAGGTCACTTAAGCCTCCTAAGGGTCACTTAGGAACCTTCAAAAGGTCACTTTGAAGAAGCTGGATAATGATTAAATCCACACATACTTCACATTTTCTTTGACTGGCTTTTCACCAGCACCTTCAGTTCGTGACTTCGAATCTCTAGACGTCTGTGGTTGTGACCGACCGGCGTACGGCCACTTTTGTCACCCCCAAATCATCTCGTTCGGCCATCGGCACGTGCTGGTTCTCAGCGTCCTCTTCTGTTGTCAGGTCACTTTGCTGAGTGAGGCCGGCTCTAGACGGTCCACAGCTTCCGCAGTGCAGAGGTAGACTCAGTAGATGGAAGCTTTCAGGCCGAAACACAGAAACCACACTGGTTGCGCTGTGCTTGCGCTGTGTCACCACGAGGTGAACTTCACTGCATGACACAGACAGACAAAACATGGAGGTGACCTTGTCTGTGTCACCGAACTTCATTGGTATGTGTCATGCATTCTCGCACCAAAAACGCCCACGCGATGTCACACCACTTGGCTCGAAAGCCCGGGTGCCATGTGTGAAACCGGGTGCCCTGGTGTTGACGGAATCAGCATGGATCGACATATGTTCAACCAGATATGCCATGAATTGATATGAATTGATATGAATTGATATGAATTGCCTACTTCTATATCAACCCCCTCAACCAAAATCACCCATCAACCCTCCAAACCCCTCCTGGCATGTACTCTTCCCTACAGCGTCCCTACAGTGTCGCCAAGCCGTCCCGCCTCGGTGCGGGTCTTGTACCACTCCTTGAGGTCCACGCCCGCCTTGGCCTCGGCAATGCCCCAGTAGGCCGCATGGTCCTCGGTTTCGCAGCTGAGGAGCTCAACCGCGGCCGTCAACCGTGGACCAGGCGAGGTCGGGAGGCGGGCCCAGGTGGGCTTTCACGGTGAAAGACCACAAATGCGACAGGGAGGTTGACGTGCAGCTAAGGTGAAAGGCGCAAGAACTTGCTCAATCAGACTTCCTTAACACCCTATGGGATTTCATGTCCGCATGCAGGGCTAGGAGTAATGAAAAATGACAAGATATGACAAGCATTAAGCACAAATCATCAACGCTCACCTTCATTTCATGGTGAAACCAGTCCGACTGTTCCATCGAAGAAAGAGACTGGAACCACTGGAATCACCCAGAACTCCCATACACTGTGAAGCATTTGATTCCTATTCAGACGATCCTCCTCTGAGGAAGGGAATGCAATGCGTGTGCCATTGGAATTTTAGCAAAAACACTGTATACATACTTAGCAACTAAACCAAACTTAGAGCAGTATAGAGTTGTCATGGTGATTCAAAGAAGCATCATCAGCATCACATTCATCGTCAAGAAGATCAAACATGGCCACCTCATGACAGGCCCCCTGCTGACTGCAAGTCCTAGCCATGGTTCCTTCGTGCTCAAAAGAAGCCAGGTCCCCCACACCTCCACGATCCAACGGCCCTACTGCAGCTCAAAAGTCCCAGCCATAATTGCCAGCATAGATGCCTGGCTGCCGACCAACGTCGCATGTCGATTTACATCACGTGGCCGTCTTGCATTCGTCGAAACATCTAGTGTTCATTGGTCCGAAAAGTCATGGTGTCTGATGCAAGCGTGGCTCAAATGCTGGGTGTCATGACCTGTATACTATGACAAAAAACAAACACATACCCTAGGGCTTCAAGCACCTCAGAAGGTTCGGTATGACTGGACCCTCCTGGCACCCACCCCAAACTCCACCTTCGAAACGAAGGTGCGACTGGAAGGTCGGGAGAATGAGCGAACGACGATGCATTTGGGGGGCCTTTCTCGAGGTCGTCGTGCACATCCCTCCAGCTGTAGCCGGTGGCCGGATCGTTCTTGCAGGCGATCGCCTTGAGTTGCTGACGCCTGCCGCGTGCAAGGAGAGCAGGGGCGGTCCGGGACGGAGAGCTGGTGAAGTATAGGTGAACCGGATGGAAACTGCTGCGGGAGGTGCAACTTTAATGCTTGATGTTCCTCTTATCTTTAAAGAAAAAAACGAAAAAACGTCTGCAGCAGTCGCTCAAACAGCTGGAACGCTAGACGTTTTCATCGCCGGAACGAGGCGATGGAAGGTCGATTCGGGTCGTTCGCTGTGAGCAGAAGTGTTCGTGCGCCGGTGGGCTGCAGCGGCAAGTGGGATGTAGGCGCCTGCGGCTATACGTATTTGAGACGGACATCTTGAATCATGAGTTCTAAGAAGAAACGAAGAAAAGCCAACACGGTTTTTCCAGGATTTTGAAGCTGACTCCCCCTGTTTTCTCCCGCGTTGTTCGGGCCTTTTTCCTTCGGACTCTCTTCCGATCTCTCCGACAGTCTCCGACCAACACCGATCTCTCCGTCGTTTTCCACCCGCACGGGTGGACCCGGAGCCTGGAAGCACAGCATTCGCAGGCATCTTCAGGGTGAGCACCTCAACGAAGTGAGCCGCCCGTGCGAACCGAGGCATGCGAGGCATGATGGTGGGCCAAGGAATTCTCCCTTCTCAAGAGGGTTGGGGGTTGGACCTGGGTCCCAACACATGATGGACCCAACACCTTCCTCCTGCTTCCCTTTTGCCCCAAGGAATTCTTGCCAAGATGCAAGGTCGCAGGTGCCCGCACCTCGTTTCGGACTGCAGTTCAGCGTGCCACCCGAACCCACATTCTCGACTCTGGTTCGCGTTTGTTTTTTGCCGGACTGGCGCTGACTATGGATTAATGTTGGATCCTGATTAGTAAATAGGTCCCCTATAATGCTAAATTGTCCAAATTTATTCAGACCCCCCTGTTTGAAAAATGGTACCTCTATAGTGCTAAAAAAAATTGGGCCCTAAATTTTTAAATTGGAAGCCCAATTAATAAGGGTTTGAATTCCTTCTGAGGCCAATGATTATGATTCATTAGCTGATATAGTTTTCTCTAGGTTTCTTCAAAACTGACAGCTGACCAAAACCACCAAGAGTACGACGCCCTGGAGGTGTGTGTGTGTTTTTGTTCAGTGATTTTTTGCGTTTTTCTATGATGTTCAATAGATTTTCTATGTTTTCGTTGCATTCACCCATCTGGTACACATCACTTGTGCCCATAGCCTGCTGCCCCTTTGCCATGATCTTATCAACAGATTTCCTCATCAAGCTTTTAAACACATAGCTAAAGTCTGTATCTGTCAATTGCATCATAGCTGTCATCTTTGGAGGAATGATAGACTGTAGCTGATGGGCTGCATACACCATCTTGTATGTATCATCGCTAAATGAAGCAACAAAGCAATCCCTCTGATAGATGGATACTGGATACATCCTCCCTTGCTTTGCAATGACCCAGGACACAATGATATTGTCCTGATTGGAGGATGGTTGGAATAAACATCATAGTGCTCCAACAAATGAGGATGACCCCTTCTGATCTTGACACATTGCTCCAATGCCCTCCTGGCACGCAGCTTGATGTCTCCCAAATAGTTAAATGATTCATCCTCAATCCACCTGCCTTTGTCATCAATGTTGTCCAATCTTGCATGTTGCCCAGATACTATGAGCGCCCCCTTGCCTACATGTCCAATGGGGTCCTCATCAGGGTTGAAGAAATTGCTCACCACCTGATGGGCCTCAAAGGTAATCCTCATCTTCTCAGTTGCTGAGTCCGTCATGATAGTCAAATGGGCTCTTCCCCCACCCTTTTGATCCTCAGTGGTCACCAATTGCCAATCTTGCTTCTTCTGATCATCCAATGCCTCAAGGTCCTCATTGGGTTCCTGTCTCATGGGCTTGTTGGTTCAGCTCATCTTGAAGGTCCCTCCTAATCTTTTTGATGGTCTTCCCATGTGTCCTGGTCTCATGGCCTGCAAATAGAGCCTAGGTTGATCCCTTTTTCACCCATACAGGAACCTGATCTGAGAATGCAAGCATACATTCAGGCTTTGCCACAAATTCCTTCAGATCTTCATGCCCCATGGACACAAGGCTCATGATATAGTCATGGTGGTTCCATGCCAATTCTGCTGAAATCTGCTGCCCCTCATTGCTCAAGGGCGCCAACGCATTTGGAGTCATATGTTTGGCACCAATAGCATCCATAAGCATCTTGGCCCTCTTTTCCCTTTGCTTATACCCCTCTTTGATGCTCTTCATTTGGGACTCAGCCCTTTCCAATTGATTGATACAAAGAATCTTCTGGGGCCCATCTTCCAGCTCATCCCTTTTCTCCTCAAGCTTGACTTTCTCCACTGATAGCAGCTGAAAATATTTCCATGCAAGATCCATCTTCTGCACCCCATGCCCATAACTCCTTTCCCTTTCCAACCATGTCTTAACCTCACCAACCAAGTGGGGGAATTGTTGCTTGGCACCCCCACCTGATGCCCTGACTCTCATGTGGTTCCCACCTGATGCTTTCTTCCCTTTGCTCAATCCACTCCTTTGCGTTCTCTCATCTGCTGTTGTGCTTTGCTGATGCTTCAGAATCTCTGTCTCCCATTTGGACCTTTCAGCATAAATCCCCTTCAACACATGAGGTCTCATCAGGATTGTTCTATTCCATTTCCTTGCGCATTTTCCTTTCTGATTCTTCAGTATGCTCTCCGCTTCGGGGGGGGTCGACCCCCAAAAAAAAAATATGGTGCTGCCTCAAATCAAGGCCACCAATTTTTTTTTTGTCGACCCCCCGCCCTCCTCTGGGAAACTCTGTGCGGTCCATGTCCGCGACGCTGGCGACATTGCGATGTCTATGGGATGTCTGCTACTGTGATGTGGCGCGTGATGTGACAGTATCCTCCTACATTTTATCCTGAAATAAGAATACCTCCAGCGCATAGATAGCAAATTCGTCAGAAGACTAGAACACTGGGAAAACAGACACCTCCACAACGTCGTGATAAAACATTGCTCCTAAACAAATTTTCAAGGTAGTAGACCAGGAAGGCACCTGATCCTCAATAATAAATCTGTTTTTGGGTCCTCAATTGTGAGAAGTTCTTTTTCCCTGGAAAAAAATGCTCATGGAATCTTCCTTTACTTAGGAAGCCATGGAAGCTGAGGAAGAAGCTGAAAGCTTGGGGCTTCTCTTGAGCTGAAGATCTGAGGCTGCAAAGCAAAAGGATTACTGAGAACAATTACAAAGCACCTGAGAAAGGAAGCTGAATACAATCTATGAAAGGAAAATGAATACTACAATCAATTACAAAAGATCCCTCACCATCCAGATTTGTTTTGGTGATAGTTTATTATAGAGGATCCCCTGTTTGTTTGAAAGGGGGGGGGCCCTTTACTAATCAGGATCCAACATTACCTGCATTAATCCTGCATTCCTTACATCCATGGCCCATGGCCCATGGCTGAAAGGTGCTGATGATGCTCGCTCTTCTGTTGGTCAATGAGCCCGCCACTCCGCTCGTCTACGACCCACTCCGCTGTTCTGGGTGCAACATCAACGAGAGCACTTTGTGAGAAAGTGATCACTGCAGAAGCACATGAACAACACCAGATCCTTCTGCCAGGTTCAAATGAAACTCCCGGATCATTCCACATCAGTCAACATCATTCAACATCGTTCAAGCACATCCACAACACCAGAAACTCCCGGATCATTCAACGGTCAACTCAACATCGAATCAACTTTTCAAGTGGACTCCCTTCAGGTCGAGCATCCAACACATTATCTACACTCACTCGAATCATCATTGGTTTCCTGGAGTTCACCCCACTGGTTTTGCTCTTCTGTTTTTCCCAAAAGGCCTGGTGAACACCACGACCATGACTGAGCTGGCATATGCTCCATACATTGACCCCATTTCAACCACCCCTGGCCTGATCGGTAAATGTGCCAGTCCCAGACAGGTCGTGTTTGGGATAGGGAGTGTATTTACCTTCAGAAGGAGGTCACCTTTTTCAAGGCGGATGGTTCACCCCTTAGAACACCCGATGTTTCCCTCCAAGCCTGAGATGTGCGGTGAAAAAGCATCACATGGTTCCACCCCAGTCCACAGCCTACCTGGTCTACCTCGCCCAGCCGAGTCCTTAAGCTTCTGTTGATGGCGGATCTGGACGTGTTCCACCACCCTCCCATCCGACTCATCCACCAGGTCTCCGAAAGGCTTCGCTCGGATGCACACTCCCAAGTCCAGTGGTCTCTACAGGTGACTTACCACCTGTGAGGTTAAGACAGGTCTTTGGGAGAGGGTAGCCCTCTCCATGTCCGAGAAGCGCTTGGTCTGGACGACTTGGACTGTCCCATGTCGAGGAGACCGGGTGTCTACCTCCCGGCCCAGCTGGTGTTCTCCGGCCCAAGAGCTTTAAACAACCGATTGGTTGAATGGAAAAAAAATAAACACGCTGGGATACGCCCAAGCCACAATTGCTTCACTCGTCGCACGGCGGAGGGCATGGCTTTTCCGGTGTTCTTTGGCTAACGGAAGGGTTTTCTCGCTCACGCGTTTGTTCGGAGTTGTCTCTGGGTCTGAGCCAAGATGTGCGTGGGGCTTTGCCATGACGACGGGACAGGAGAAAACTGGCAACCATTCACAACCACTCATATCGAAGCCCAACTCTGGTAGTTTGGATTCTTGCAAGAATATCTTGGATCACGCAGGAAACACATGTTTGCAATTTGTCGTGCCAAAAAAGGAATCAAACCTAAAACCAAAGGGGGCTCCTGATTCAAGCGATTTCTGGGATTCTCGTGCTACCAGCTCATGAAGGTTGAGCATTGGCTGTAGTCATCTGATTTTGTTGCGCTACCAAACAGCGATGGCCTCCAACCTACAAGCAATGGCCTCCAACCTACAAGTAGCAGAAGATTGCAGTTGTTTAACACAGTTAACATGTGACATCCAAATCTGTCGTGCACCACGAGACTCCTGCGCCCTACGAGACTTGTTTGGATCAACCACATCTGCCCATCCTCAACCCTGGTGTCTCGAGTCTCTCCCCTATGGCCCTATGGCTCAAACCACCAAACAAACCTTTGAACCGTCTCTCCCCCAAGGTTCCGTGCTGGTCCCTGGACAGCGCCCAAAAGACACAGCACCCAAAACCATCAACAAAAACCATCAAATACCAAGCACCGTGTTGCACCACCTCGCTTCACAGACAGGGGGAAAAAAGAACAAGCACCAGCACCAGCACCTAAATGCCACCAGGAAGTTCCCAAGCCACTCCAAACAAAAAGAGACATCCACACCAACTCAACTCCACCACTCCACCCAGCGCAGCGCACGCTGGAACCCGCTGCGCCTGAGCATGATCCTGCAGCTCCAAGCCCAGTTGGGTGAGCTTCTCCAGCACTTCCCTAAAACCGCCACGGACCGCCACGGCCGGTTCTAGGAGGTCATTTTTGTGGGGTTTCGGTACTTTGAGAAGGAATCCGTCATGTGTTTGGAGTTAGGGAGTTCGATGGGAACTGACTGACTGACTGGTTACATTCAAGAAGTGGTACAAAGTCCCGTGTTTTGTTTTAAAGATCCTAGACGAATCGGTTCCAAAGGATGACATTAAAGGTTTCTCCAGAGATAAGCAAGATCAAACAACAAACAAGTGTCTTTGGTTGTTCGATGTCTTTTGCAACATTCTTCAGCTTGTTTCTCAAGGATGATTCTTCTCTTGGATGACTGAACCAGAAAATATATGAAGATTTGGAGTTCATCCCCGTTCCTTGCAGGCATTGGCTCAGCCAGGGAGCGTGAAACCATCCCAAACCATCTCCTATATATGGTCTTCAGGCTAAGTACCTTTCCCAGACACTCCATGTATGCCAATATATGCCTACATTGACCCCCAAAACCACCCCAATGTAGGCATATATGGCAGTCCCATGGAGTGTCTGGGTTTGAATTCGCCCCAACAAAAAAACACATCACCACGGACCCCCCTCGGTCTGTCTCGCCTCTTCCGCCGGTGCTCGTAGACCCAAGCCTTCAAGGAGGAATCCCAACGGCCTTCCAAGGCCTCTCGAGCGATTCACGAGGCGAAGTCCGGTTCGTCGCGGCGGCGGCCACAGTGGCGGTTGTTGGCGGAGCACAAGCTAGCAGCCCTTGGAGAAGGAGCAACTTTGATATGCTTTTTGAGGGCCACTAGAAAAAGGAGATCAAAGCAAAAAAATGGTTTGCCACTTACAGGCTTACAGGTCTACTTGCAGACTTAGGAATGCACAACATGGACAATAAGGGCCAGATTTTTTTCTCGGATCTAGCAGGATCCACCCGCTTTTGATGGATGGCAATCCTCGACTCCTACTTTTGATCCACACCAGGGAGGTGCTTTCCCACCCGGTCGCCCTGGGTCATTCTGGGTCGTCCTTCAAGCACTCTCGGGCTGCATAGGTCTCACCTGCGCCAAAAAGGCCAACTGGCTGGGCCCACGTGGCCCGCGGGAAAGCAGGCTGTTCGGGCCCGGCTAGGTGGAGGAAACGACGGACATGCCCTAGGTTGTGCCGAACATGTGTATAATCTGACCGTCAACTGATCCGCCGACCCCGGGCGATGGGCGGATCAGAGCGCCGTCAGGGGAATGCTTACGTTCACAAAGGCCGTGGGCTGCTTTTTCAAGGAGTGGCGACATGGTGGCGGCAGGGCGGGACTTTGGGCGGGTCATGTTACAGAAGCCATGGGGGTCTATGCGGCGAGACTGTGGCGACACTGAACGCTTTGCGTGGCCCTTGCGGGCTCTGCCGCGGGTAGTGGGGGCGCGTCACTGTAATATGAGGCTCAGAAGGCGACGTTAGACAGTGGCAGGGCTCAGTCCCAAGACCCGCGCCTAGGACCAGGGTGTTTCGGTGTGGCGACACTGACGGTTTTTCGTGGTCCGTGTGCCTGCGCTCTGGCTGTGACCTATCCCTTGCTTTTTCAGTGGGTTTAAGGAGGTGCTCATCCTGGACTACCGCTTCGTCCGAAGGCAACGTTGAACAAGATGCAGGCAGCAAGGCTGTGGCGAAGGCAGTCAGCATTTCCCAAAAACGTCTACCAAGAAGGTCCGCGCGGGGGTGGCAACTGCCACAAAGCACCGGCCAAAATCACGTAGTTTGAGAAGTCCTCTATCGTTTGGGAGGCTCTGTGACCGCATGCTCCTGCAGAATCACAAGTTGCATTGCTGCCTGGTGCATTCTTGGCTTGCAGCAGCAGTCAGGTACTGCTGGGTGGAAGCGAGTTCTTCCATTACCGCACTAAGAGGGTGGTGAATGGTATCCCCATTCAGATCGTGGCCATGACCCCTTGCAGCATCCCAATATGGTATTGCGACCCACGTGTCCACCCGGCAATATGTTCAAACAGCTCTTCGCGAATCATTTTCACCATGTACAATTTTCCTGTGCCTGGGCCGCTGTGCAGAACCCAGCAACGGCTCCTGTGTCGCACCTTCTTCTGCCAGCAATTCTGCGTTGATCTCCATGTGATCTCCTGAACTATGCGCTGACAAAAATCGGTTTGTTTGCCGTTGCACTTGCCATTGCTGGCTTGGCGGGTCGTTTGCTCGGTATCAACCATCAAATTGTCTGGCGAGATTTGGGATCTGAAGGTGTCGAGCGCAACCCCGTGCACATTTCGTGGTCAGCGCTCTAGATACGAGGGAGGCGTGGTGGAGATCAAGACACTGCGTCAAGAATTGTCTAAAGGGGGGTCGGCGGCAAGATGGAGCAACCTAGTCTCAACATAGCTCCAAGAGAGATCAACATAGCCTCAACATAGCTCCAAGATAATCGTTTTCAAAGGCCAGTGGTGCAAGATATGCTGCCCGAGTGGGCTTGCAATATGAGCACTTTGTGCTTCTGCTTGCTCTCCTTCTCTTCCTCTTCCACAGAAAGATAAAGAGAAAGGGAAGAAGAAAGAGGAAGAGAGGAAGAGAAAGAGGAAGAGCAAGAGAAAGAACAGAGCCAGAGAAAGAGAAAGAAAAAGAGAAAAAGAAAAAGGAAGAGAAATAGAAAGATAAAGATGATAAAGAGGAAGAGAACGTGAAAGGGAAAGAGCGAGAGACAGCGAAAGAGCCAGAGCAAGAGCAAGCGGACGGAAGAGAAAAACCAAGAGGAAGAGAAAGAGAAAGGTATAGGCGGAAGAGAAAGACAGAGAGAGAAAGAGAGAGAGAGAGATATATATATATATATAAAGAGAACAAGAGGAAGAGAACGAGGCCCTGCTTACACCGCCTGCGCCCTACACGCCCTACACACCCTCCTGACGCCTGCACCTGCTCTGCTTACCTGCCTGGCCTAGCCCGCTTTCAGGCGTAAGCCTTGAAATCCCATTATTCTATATTATTCTCACTAGAATAGAGTCGTTTTTCACTTTTGTGTCGAACCTTCCAGAAGGTGACTTGCAATTTGCAATTTGGCAAGTTCTGCTCGAAGGGGGAAGTCTGCACTCCAGGTGTGCCACAACTCCGCCGATCACGAAACTTGGTCCAAGAAAGACTGACTCATCTTCCAACAACTCCTGGGGCCCATACCCCCCCTTTCGTGTGGATTCACATGGATTCACATGTGATTTGTCTGTGTCTTGCGAAGAAGTAACAGCCTGCTGGATTCCTGCTACAGAATGTGATGACTGGCTAGACTGGTTCTTCTCTTTGGCGTTACACACTGAAGTGGCACACACGGTGGGAAGGACGGGAAGGCCTAAGGACAAGTCTCCTCTCTACATTTCTCGGGAAGAATCCATGGTGGGAGTGGATGGCCATCCAAGACAACCATGTGAACTCCAAACTACCACTGCCAGGTGGTTTTCACTCATTCCGCGAAACCTTAAAGGCAAAAAGGGCGTAACCCTCCTGATGTTTTACTTCTGAGTGTTTTCACTTCGATGGCTCTCATGATTTCACTCGTTTTCAAAACTCTTCGAGGCCTTTCACCAGCAGCCCACGCGGATGAAACTCTAGAATCAGCATGGCGCGGCCAGCGGCACCGGCATCCAGCGGCACCGGCGCTTCTAAGAGCTTGACTTGTGACGCACATGTTCAAAACAAGTGAAGGTGCTTAAGGTGATATCCTTCAGGTGAACCCACTCTTTTGTGTCTAAGAACTGTCTATCATGTTCAATATCCTTCAAGTGAAGGTGCTTAAAGGTGATATCCACCTCTTTCAATCAGTCCCCACAGCTCAGACTTTCAACCTCTTCGGGAGGGATCCTGTGGGGCGCACCTGCTGGTGTTGGCTGCTTGGGTGTTGGCTTTCAAAACACCAAGGAGCACGAAGCACCCTCTCTTGAGAGGGCTCTTGATCTTCCCCAACTGTTCATCTCTGATTTCAAGTCTGCTGCAGTGTGGCGCAGTTGTCTGAAAGGTTGCACAAAACAGATCGACAGCGGGATTGTCATTGTTGCTTCTTTGGAATCTGCTTCCATTTGTAGTAAAATGAACTGAGGCATCTTGACCCGGATACAAAAAAAAAATGTGGATTTTGGCGCAAACTGTAACACCTTCGGACACCGCAGTCACTGTGAAACACCGACCATTGTAGAAACATACAGTATCTGACTGAGTATCTACCGGGAATCCACACCCACCAGGGTTTAACACCTACTCTTCATCTTACAATCTGTTACAAACCCAATTGCCCCATGTTCATCCAACTTGCAGGGTACAGTGAACATACCACTTACTATCACTTACTCTTGATGATGCATTTTGGGCCGTTGTTTTTCATTCCACCGACCGAGCCAAGCTCCGTGTTTTGATGGACCCTTTCACCGACCCTTTGGACCGCTGAAGCGATGGAGAACCATCCACCCGCTCCGAGGATCGAGCACCGTCCCTCCAAAAACGGTTTCGTTCGTTCGTCCCAGTTAGCCCAGTTTTCACAGGAGGCTTCGACCCTTGGCCCAAGGTGTCAGGTCCGGACCCTTTCGGATCCTGAGGACAATAATCTGGTGCTGGGAGATCTGTCAGTCCGGGTCCTCTGCGAGTACTCACCACCAACAAGAAAGGAGATGTCAATCCCAGGGGAATTGGATCCTCACACATCAATGGATGGATTTCACTGGGTAGGTCAGCACGGCACGAAGTCAAACACTGCAGAAGTCAATGACAAGTCTTCCGGCCCCCAGAAGTAGAAATACCCTGCCACTGCATGTATATCAATGGAACATCACAATAAAATATATGCACCGCACCGCACCGCACCTACATTACTTACATTGTCGCCTATGGTTTCGGATTTCCAAAAAAATAAAGACACCTTGTGGGAGTTCTTCACCACGATCCAGGGTGAAACAGAACAGAGAAAACCGGTGCGGCCCCGTGATGCCCCGTGTCCTAGGGTGATCATGCCCGTAGACGGGCTCCCCTATCTCCGGTTCGATCGTGGTAGCTATGGTGGGTGCCATGGGGGTCTAGGCACCTTCTGAGGATACGGTTGGAGCCCTAGGGATGTATAGCCAATAAGTCGATCAAAGGATCCGTTTCTACAAACTCGTCTGCCTCACTTCGATATTTGTTTGTCTTTTTGGCCGTGACGGTCACTCAAACCCCCACGGTGTCGCCCAAGAGCAAACTCACAAAACGGGTCCAGGTCCTTTCATTATGAATATGAAAAAGAACAATGCACCTAAGAACAACACAAAGTAACCGCAAAATACACACGTGCACAATTGGGTTCCTTTTGAATTAAGTAATATCGAACACTATGTCACAGGGGACAAAAATATCCAATGGTTCACCCAAACATTCACGGACATACCAAGGCCCCCCATTTCAGGTGTCTTTCATCGCCCCGGGCGGCGAACTGATTCGATGTGTCGACCCACGACCCCTTCACTGACCACTCCACTCTGGCACAGATCGAACGCCATGACCACCCAAGCACCCAACTCGAGTGGGTCGTAGGAAATCTCTCCACACAGATTTCCACCAATCAGTTCTTCCTCCAAGTCTCCCCCAAGTCTCCCCCTTCATTTCCACCAAGTCACCCACCGAGTCTCCAGCTCGAGTGGGTCCTCAATTCTTCCTCCAAGTCTCCAGGTCTCCAGTCTTGGTGCCCCGGACATGGTCTCAGCCCGGGTTCCGCTCTCCATCTCCGCTGCCGCTGCCACCGGGCGACACAGCAGGCCCATCTGGGACGTCCGGCTGCAACGCGCAGGGTTGAAACACCGCGACACCGAAGCCCCCTGAAGAAAGGCCCTGCCATGGCCGGTTGAAACCGCTGGGAGCTCCTCAAGGTTAAAGGTCCAGGCAGCCCATTTTTGAGGTGCTTGTGGTCAGATGTCTTCAATTAATGGTGGTGACAGGGTGCCTTCCAATCCGTGGTGTTCAACCTGTTCATACGCATTACGAGTGTCTTTATACGTGTCCCCCCTCCCTTCTTATGTACAAACAGGTTGCATCAACCTGGTTTTCAGAAAAGCCAATCTGTGCAGAAAGAAAGCATTGGCATCTGCAGCTTGCCACGGGAGAAAGTCTTGCTCATTAAAGAGACTCTAGAGAGATACTGAAGCAATGACCCATCGGGCTCCTGGCCCACCTCCTTTTCGGTTCGGTGGTTGGGGTGGATGCCAGGGGGGTCTAACCACCGAACCTGAGGAGATGGGACAGGAGCCCTAGGGTGACATCAGAAAACATCTGAAAGCACAAACGTCTTTTGAGAGCACATGATCTTCCGCGAAGTCGTCTGGCTCTGTGGTACGAAGCTACTGTAGGGTTGTAAGCTACGAGTACCTGCTTACTGCTTATGGTGGTTTGGACACCAACATTCTGTTCTTTGCATGCATATGCCATTATATTCAACAGAACCTTGGCATGCTATCTGCCTGACATCACTGAGTCATTTGGGGATCGATTCTGGGCCTCGTCAGTGATTGCCCTTCTCCTCTGAAAGGTCTCACCCAATTGCCTGCCAGCGCGGCACGGAGGCCTTGGATTTGTTGTGTGTTGGAACCTGGAAGTTGAGGTAGCTCACAAATCAAAGATCTCTGATCTCTGTTTGACTTCGGCAAGCCTCTGACAGTGAAAAACGTTCGTGGCTGTGCCTGTGGATGTTCTGATCCAGCAAACCCTGGAAAAGCAAGAGGCTTGGAGCTAATGTTGAAAAGAAACACATGAATATGCATACTTCTGTAGCTCTTGGAAAAGAACGTATGCATGCATCGTCTAGATAGATTATATATGATCATATAGTCTATAAGAACCTGTGCGTTCTTGCAACGCCTTGCACGACTGGGTTCTGGCTCATTGAGACCTGACTCTACGTGCACGGCGCAGGCCCCAAGCGGCCGTGCAAGAAAACAAAGAAGAACGGGGTGCCAGGTTTGTCAGGTTTTGTAAAGAGAGTGAGTCTACATTATAGCGAAGAGAACCATGAGTCAAGTGAGTCAAAGAATAGAGGGATATAGACCAGAGGGAGTGCACACTCTGAGCTTCACACATCACATGGAAGCAAGTGGATGGCATGGTCCCATGGAAGACTACTTTGCTTTACAAACAGGAGGCGCCATCCACGTCCATGTTAAGTCGGAGTGCATCTGCAGAGGTCCACCGGTCGACCTCACCGTTTTGATGGATTGGCTGGGGGATCTGCGGTTACTCCCGATCTACCTGGCAATAACTGCTCCATGGATGTTACTCCATGTTACTCCCATCCTGTGAAGCAACATGTGACGTAACCAAACATAACCAAACCATTCTCGACAGCCCATCTATCCCTAGGGCTCCTGGCCTACCTCCTGAGAAGATGGTTATGGTATGGTGGGTTTGGGGGGTCTAACCACCTTGGAGCCCTAGGGTATGGACACTCAAAGCGTTTGGATTTGCTTCGCCACACTCGCCTTCGCATGGTCCAAAGGCTGCGCCTGAAGGCTCGGACGAAAGCGGTGACGCACCCAGTTTACCACGACGCACCCAGTTTACCCAAGTGGCCACGGTCAGCAGCAATCACCAGCTCTTTGACGCAAAATCTGAGTTTCTGGGGATTAAGACCAGGTGAAGTAGACCACTAAGTGGAGACCAAACTTGGGATAGTGCGACACGTAGGCCCCAAGGGGCCGTGCAGTTTGAATGGATGACTGTGGCTGCCCTCTGACAAAGGATTGCTTCTTTTTGGGGAATTGAAAGAAACTGAACAACCTTGAAACGAACAATCCAAAACAACGGCCCCTGCACATCCCTTGACCCCACCAGGTCTCTGCACACCGGTTCCTCGTTCCTTTTCATGAAAAGAATCGGACTCCCCGAACTCTCCCTCGACTCTCTGGAGTCAACTTCAGGCCAGGGCGAGGCCGGGGGCGGGGTCGGGGTCGCACCCATGGCCGTCGCCCGGAGGATCGACCAAAGAACGAAGGCACCGAGCTTTGCAGCCGGGAAAAAGGGAAGGAAAACACTTCTACCTGGTCCACCAAGGCAAACCACCGGTCCACCTGGGCAAACCACCGTCCACTTCGACCCTGCACCAAGGCAAAGTGACGTGTCCGACGTGTCCGACATGGATGAAGCGAACCCCGATATCCGGTGCCCTGGCACGCGAGACTCTTACCCAGACACTCCATGTATGCCATATATGCCTACATTGGGGTGGTTTGGGGGGTCTTATTTTGATCGTCTTGGACTTCCTCAGCAGATTCCTGAAAGTCGCAGCCCAGTGCAACCCCACATGCACATCGATGAATTTATGAACTTTACTTTTTGGGGTAACGGGTAACGGGTCATGTCGTTTCTTTTTCTTCATAGGATTCCCCACCCAGACATTCAGAACAAATTCTCTATACTTGGGGTGTTGAAATATAGTCAAGAACCTATAGTTCGCCCTCTTGGACCCGAACTCTGCTTCCACCAGGCCCGAACTCGCTCTCGCCTGGTCCGCGCGACCAACGGGTCCACCCTTGGTGCTTCTTGCGGCGCTTCCAAAACAACGCCTGGAGCGGCTGACCGTTTCATTACTTGTTTCGTTGGTCTGGAAAGGA